TCGGCTGCGGCGGCTACGGCAGCAGGCGCCTCGTAGAAGTCTTCCTCTACGCCCAGGTGGCGGGTCGGTAGCTGCAAGCGCGTCCTTGGCGGGGCACGATGTCGGCGGGCTTCGGCGGGCGTCGTCAGGGTCAACGGCCTAAGATGAGCTCGTGACGGAGCTCGGTCAACTGCACACGATCCATGCGGTCGATCCGCACGTCGTGCTCAACGCGGCGTCTTCAGGGCATAACTTACTGAGATACCAGGAGGCCAAGCATCGAGATAGAGCTCTGTCAGGTGGCAATGTACCAACTATGCTGGGCCCTGTCTGTCGTCATGTTGATACCGGTCGGCACCTTCTTGGGGCAAGGGATCCCGCATGCGTCGCAGAACGGGTCCGAGAACTTCATGTTGCAGCGACAGACGGTCGCGATGGTCCAACCGAGAATCATTCACGGCTTGCGGCGGTAGCCAAGGCAGGCATGCAATCGTAGAGCATCCTGAAGACGACCTTCAACGACCAGCCGAGCGTGAAGAGCACATTATAGGCAGCGGTCTGGTAGCCCTCCATGCGACGGTAGAATTGCAACACCGGGTAGTTCCTGCCGGGCAGCATGCCGTGGAGAATGTCGATGGTAAAGTACTGTAAGAAGAGTGCGAGAGCCTCCCGCGACATGAGCGAAAGCGCACCACCGGCGACGAGCGCACTGTCCTCGAGCTTTGGCGTCCGTGTAGTTGCCCTCAGCGTCCCTGTCGAGGGTCGCCGACTGGACGAAAGTAAGATGTTCTACGGTCCCGGTGATGTAACCAAACGCAGCTGTCGTCGCCTTGGCGCTTATCCAAGCGAGGCATGGAATGAGTCTCCGATCTCGATGCGATGGCACTGACTGTAAGCTGGTTACTGTAACACACCTTGCAGTGTCGTCTCGAAGAGCGCTAACGGCAGCGCCTCGAGAGACCAAAGCAGTGCTCGAAGTCGCTTGCCTACTGCGGGCAAAGTAGAACAAATGTATCAAATCCTGTTGGACCAGCGGTTTTATGCTTTCAACCTTGTCATGTGGAGCGGCTATTCGCATAGGACCTTGGCAAAGGTATATAGGTGCTTCTGGAGCGGTCAACCGAAAATGATTGCTACACTAAAAAACACATTTCTCACCGGTGTAGTATGGTGCCATGTCGAACACCAAGGTGAAAAAAAGGATGACGTGGCTCAATAAGGTGCGCTCTTTCAATGGCAACTTGAAAAACGACATTGCACTCTCGCAGCTCGTCGCCGCTCTCGTCGCCGAGTTGCTTTCTCCCAACGGAATACTAAGAATTGTCTCATTCCCTTGTGTTGCTCAATCGGATTGGATTTATTGAAAGAAGCTGTCAAGACGAGTTCAATGGTGCAAACAAAGCGAGTTTTTATTTACAAAACAAGACGACACGAGACATGGGGTCCAGAACGGACAAGCGCGCTTACTTGATGCACGTGCCGTTGGCAAAGTAGCCCTTCCCGCCGGCGATGCGGTAGCACTTGGTCGACGGGTAAATCGACATGAAGTTGGTCGACACCGAGAAGATGAGCGCAATGACAAAGACGGCGATCAAGATACCACCCGCGAGCTTGCTCTTGCCGCCGCGCTTCTTGAGGGCTTGCATCTCGGCCTTCTGGGGCGGGAGGAGGAAGAGCCAGCCGAGCGCCGCGAGCTTGGAGGCGTACGAGATCAAGAAGCAGTACGACACCTGCCAATGCACGGCGTTGTCATCGCGGGCAATGTCGGTCTGGGACACATCAAAGTACGAGTCGATGAGCTTGTAGAGGACCGACGCGAACGGCGACGCGAGGTTGTTGACCGTCGTCACAAGACCGTAGGTGGCACCCTCGTTACCGACGTCGGCGATCTCGACGGCGCAGTACGTGGCGACGATGAAGCGGATACCGGCCGGGACGTTCTCGGCCAGCGCGACACCGTTGTAGAACCACTGGTTGCGGAAGACGTTCCAGATCGTGATGAAGACGACGGCGCCGTCAATGAGGACGATGGAGATCGTGCCGAGGGCGATGATCCAGCGCCAGTTCCAGTGGAGACCCCACTTGCCGACAATGGCCATGACCACCGACATGATGAGCGAGCCAAGGACACTCGAGAGCGCTTCGTTGAGCGGCTCGACCTTGGCCCACGTGCGCGCAATCGGGGTACCGGGCGTCGCGCCGATCGCACCAAAGACCTGGTTGAGGAACTTGAAGGCGCAGATCTGCCACATGACGCGGTTCTGGAGGAGGCCCCAGAAGCTGGACGTCCACTGGGAGAACGGAATGCGCTCCGACTTGCGCTCGACGAGAATGAAGAAGGTGCTCAAGACGATGAGCCCGCACGGCACGAGGCAGATGCCGTACATGACGTTGACGCTGACGGCAAAGTCGAACGACCCCGAGTACTCCTTGCCATTGAGAAGGAAGGCCGTGCAGATCTGCGACACCATCGTGCCAATGTAGCGGAGGATGTAGATCGCGGTCTGGGTGCGGCCGCGGATCGCAATCGGCTCACGCTGGGCATACTCGACGACCATGGCGTCGGCGGCGCAGTCGGCCAAGACGTAGCCAAAGCCGACAATGACCGAGAGCACAATGAATTGGCCACCGGCGTCCGGGGCGTCAAAGTTGTAGTATTGCAGCTTGTTGTCGCGCGTGAGGTTGGCAATCGGAGGGGTCACGGACGGGCACTTGTCCTTGCGGCCGTCGCAGTACGGCGCCGGGAACGGCGTGAACGTCATGATGCAGAGGCAGAGCGTCGCGACGCCCCAGCCGATGAGCATCCACGGCTTGCGGCGGTAGCCCATGATGGGCACGCAGTCCGAGAGCATGCCGTAGAAGACCTTGAACGACCAGCCGAGCGTGCAGAGGACACCGTACGCCGAGGTCTGGTAGCCTTCCATGCGCAGATAGTTGTTGAAGACGGGGTACTGAAGACCAGGAAGCATGCCGTAAATGATACCGATCGCAAAGTACTGCGAGAGGAGACCAAGCGCTTCACGCGACATGAGCGAGAGCGCACCGCCGGCGACGAGCGCGCCGTCTTCGAGCTCGGTGGGCGTCTTGGCATCGGCGTACTCGCCGTCCGCAGTGTGCTGCTTGTCGTTGGTCGCCGACTGTATGTACGAGACACGCTCTTGGAGATCCCCGAGGTCCTTGGCGACAGTTGTCATTCTCTTGATGTCCAAGTGGCAAAAGCAAAAGTGAATATGTGGAGCAGCCCCAAAACGGTCGCCCTCAGTGTACCGGGAAGATCCATAAGGGCTGTTGAGGGGAACTTGTTGAAGCAGCGACGCGAAGATCGAGTGATCCGGAGCGTCAAAGGTCTAACTAGACGTGTAATATCTCGCCCATGGATGTGGGTGCATCTCCAACAACCAACGAGCACTAGTGTTTCACCCAACACCCCTACCCTCGACCGCCTGTCCGGTCCTTTCTAGCCGCTAGAAGGCGTTTTAAAAATTTGGAACGTAGCAGCTTCCATCGTCACTCGGAAGAGCGGGCGCCATCATTGTCAAGGAACGAGCCATTCAAAGACTCGACTACGTTGTGAGTCAAACGCTCTCCCGCTTACAACATTTGTGCTGCATGCCGCCAACGTGATAACGCAGCCGTTGGACACATGCCTTTCTATAAATCGGATCAGGGTCGGCGTACCCATGTTCGGACAATGGGATTTCCTGAGGCTATCCGCCAGCATCATATGCGTGGTGGGCCCGACTCGTTTGCCTCGCCGAAGAAGCCACTCGGGCCAGGCATCCAGGATACATCATTTGAGTTTCGTAACGATTTATCGGGTCCAGCGTTCTCACTTTGGGAGCTCGACTGGGTTTTGGAAAGGAAGACCGACCTGAGGCCTTGGTTTGAAGCCGTTGGTGCTATAACACAAGCGGACTACCCGGTATACTAACACGAGGTCGTGCCGACAGATTATACAGGCCTCAAGCTGTCCGAGTGCCTGTGCCGGTGCTGTCGTCTCTAGAGAAAAGTAGGGTTATTCGTTTGGCGGGACTGCACGTTCGAGTCGAGTGATGCCGCCATCATCACATCGACGCTACTACGTACTAGTAGGTGTTGATGGCACCTGCTTCGGTTTGATAGACGACGTTATCACGCTTGGCGATGATGCTACCGTTATAACACGATTTTGTAGCATCGTAACACTTTGCGGCTCGGGCCCTCAGGCCCAACGACCAACCCAGATCCGATGACAGTTGTTTTGGCTTTGTACTTGCACTTGAGCCGCAGCTGGTGCGGCACCTGATTTGCGGTCGGGTCCTTTCTAAAAGCGTGGGACGCATCGCAATCGGAGCCCGTCGTAACGGTGTGACGTGGACGCAAAGGGCAACATCGCCTCAAGTTTTCACCAGATGCAACGGATTTTAAAGGAGCTTTGGGCGTTTGCCGTGCCGTCATCCAATTTGTTGCGTGCGGTCGCTACCACTTGATGTTTGTATCGGGCGCACAGAAGGCGACCAACATGCAGCGTAGCACGATCAGCCACCGTCCTCGACGGGCCACCAACTCAGATCGTTCGTTCAACTTTTGCCCTTGCACTTTTCTTGCTGAATGGGTGGCTGCACAAGCAGGAACGCTTCCGTCACAAGGTGATCGATACCAAGGGCCTTGTATTTGATTTGCCTTGGTGCTTGGAGGCGGCGATGGCACGTATAACGCGCCGATAGTGGTGCCCAGCTGATTTCCCCTTATGTGTGCAGCTCTTGATTGTGCGTATTCAGATTCCGTCGCAGCGTTATACGTCACCGTGCGGCGAAAAATCGCGTTTTGACGCCGTCTCTTCCCGCGGCGCTTGGAGTTTGGCGCTGGGTGGTGGTGCTACGATCTGAGTTGCGAGTGATTTCGACACCGGCGCAACGACCGTCATACAACACAGATCTGCTCTTCAGCATATTTGTTTTGTTTTCTGGAGGCGCCACGTTGCAACCCTTGATCTGCGCCACTCTTTTCCCCTCGAGTTGTTGCTTGTTGCTACCGGACGTAATATATATTGGTAGTAGCCAACCAACAACTCAGACGACAAACCTGCAGGATGGGCGCAATAATATCTGGTTTGATCGAGATCGTGCCGTTCCCGCCAGAACGCGCAGCCGAAATGTTCTCCCGAGCGATCGCGACACGAGCTGGTCAACCCTTGACTTGGTGTACTGGCTTGTATGGTGTCGGCAGAAACCTCTGTGTCGATTCTTGGCGGATTGCTCCGAGTGTAAATCCCCATTCGCATAAGAAGTGCATGAGAACGCATGATCGGATAGCATAGAAAACCGAGCTCCCAAATGGCTTGGACAGCGCCTTGGTAGTATGGCGACCGCGCCTCTGGTGGGCACGTCAGCGCGTACGTGGTGGGTGATGCATTAGGTCTTGAAATACTCTACCGGTCCATCTCGTGCCCTTCCCCAGGTCCTTCCTTGCTTTTGACCATTGTAGGACGACAGGATGCGCCAACATTGCGCACTGTTGCAGGCGTCGCGGCATGGCGAGTGATCATGTGAAGTCGACGATGCGGATAGTGAGGCGTCTCGGCGACGGAGACCGATTGCCTGACGTTGTCTCCGCTCTCGTCCAGCACGAGCGTGCTTGTACCGACACACAAGTAACCGCGTCGAGGTGCTCAAGAACGCGCTGATCGAGCAACGTCTTCAGCAGGTCTTACACCCGAGTACAATGCAAGCGATGCAAATTTCGCGACTGCATCTCGCACAGGCGTCGCTGCGGGCTGCTCCAAAGAGTTCATCAATCCCGCTCGTTGACGCGGGCCTGCTCTCCAATGCTACCACGAGATAAGGCTACCATCCCAACACTGGTGTGTATCCACGCTTAGTGGCTCCCTCGAAAAACTTTGGACAGATTCCTAGTACGTCACACAATTACGCTTTGAGAGCGTGCCCGCCCCGCGTGATATCTCCTCCACAGCGCACGCCGTCGGTGGCTCTGGCCAGTGTCCTTGACAGCGTACGAAAGGGGAGGCGTGACGTGCCAGACACGTCAGCGCTGTGCATCGGGTCGGCGGAATAAGTTTCCGCCGACAGGACAGATTTGTCCAAGCACACGGAAACACTACCTTAAATGAGTGCGAATGGTATTAAAGACACGAGCCGTTGATTGTGCCCTGGCCGCCGGCGATGCGGTAGCACTTGGTCGCTGGGTAGATCGACATAAAGTTGGTCGTCACGGAAAAGGCGAGCGCAAAGCAAAACACGCCGACGACGATCCCGCCCGCCATTCGACTCGAGCCGCCCGTCTTCTTCATGCGCTGCAGGGCGTTTTTCTGCGGCGGGAGGAGGAAGAGCCAGAAGAGCGCGGCCAACTTGACCGCATACGAGAGAAGAAAGCAGTAGGTCACTTGCCACTTGACCGTGTTGTCGTCGCGGGCAATGTCGGTCTGCGTCACAGCAAACACCGAGTCGGCGAGCTTGTAGAACACCGATGCGAACGGCGTCGCTAGGTTGCCGACCGTCGTCACGAGGCCGTAGGTCGCGCCTTCGTTGCCAACGTCGGCGATCTCGACCGCGCAGTAGGACGCGACCATAAAGCGGATGCCATCCGGGATCTTCTCGGCGAGGACGACACCGTTGTAGAACCACTGGTTGCGGAAGACGTCCCAGACCGTAACAAAGACGGCAAGGGCATCGAGGAGGATGATTCCAATCGTGCTGAGCGCAATGACGTAGCGCCAGTTCCAGTTGAGACCCCACTTGCCGACCACCGCCATGATGACCGACATGAGAAGCGAGCCGAGGACGCCGGCGATGGCGTCGTTGACGGGCTCGACGCCCGCCCACGTCCGCGCAATTGGAGCACTTGGCGTGGCTGCGAAGCTCGAGAAGGCCGAGTTGAGGAACTTGAAGGCGCAGATCTGCCACATGACGCGTTGCTGGAGGAGGCCCCAGAAATTGGCCACCCAGTCGGCAAACGAGACCTTGGTGGAGGGCACTTCAACGAGGAAGAGGAGCGTGCTGGGCACGATGAGCGCGCACGGGACGAGGCAGATGCCGTACATGACATTCGGGGACACGCTAAACGTGAACGACCCACCGTACGCGGGTCCGTTGAGAAGAAACGCGATCGAGCATTGCGCGAGCATTTGGCCCATGTACCGGCTCGTGTAGACGGCGGTTTGCGTGCGCCCGCGGATCGCCGCAGGCTCGCGCTGGGCGTACTCGACGACCATGGCGTCGGCGGCGCAGTCGGCCATGACGTAGCCAAAGCCGACAAGGACCGAGAGCACAATGAATGGGAAGCCGCTGTTGGGCGCATCATAGTTGAACGCTGCTGTCTTGGCGAGGCACGCGTCGTCGCAGTACGGCGCGGGAAACGGCGAGAAGGTCATGATACAGAGCCCGATGGTCGCAATCGCCCAGCCAAGGAGCATCCACGGCTTGCGACGATAGCCAAAGAGCGGAAAGCAGTCCGAGAGCATGCCAAGGAACACCTTGAACGACCAGCCAATGTAGATGAGGACACCGTATGCGGAAGTCTGGTAGCCTTCCATGTGCAGATAGTTGTTGAAGACCGGGTACTTGAGCCCTGGCAGCATGCCGTAGAGAATGCCGATGGCAAAGTACTGCGAGAAGAGCGCGAGGGCCTCTTGCGAGACGAGCGAGAGCGTGTGTCCGTCCACGAGCGCGCCGCCGTCTTCGAGGTCTGTCGCGGCGGTCGCTGCCCCGTACGCTGCGCCCTTGTCGCCGAGGAAGGGCGCCTTCTCACGCTGGGTCGTCCGCATCGGTCGAGGCGGGGGCCGGTGAATTGATGATGGTGGGCCAGAGGATACCCTTGCAGTTGGCGACCGAAGGGTTTGGAATTCGCGAACTGGTACTCGGATACATTGGCAACCAATCAAAACGCAGGAAATCGCTGCGTCGATGGTGCAAACCGAAATTTCGGCGCCACGTCACACACTTAATTCCAGTAAGCGATACAACGATCAAGTATATGACGTGGCATGTGTAACGCGCACCAATGTCAGTGCATTTTGTCGAGCCATTTCGAACTTGCAATCACTTGCAACACAGACAACAGAGTGCTCCAATTAACATGCACAAAGAGAGTGTGCTAATGAGCACTACGTGGTTACTTGGAGCACGAGCACTTGATGCCTGCAATGCGATACCGGTAGCACTTTGTGTGTGGTAAATCGACACAGTTGGTCGTCGCGGAAGAGGAGAGCGCGACCACAAAGAAGGCAACGAAAAGACCGCCGACAAGCTGACTCGTATCGCCTCAAAGCAGAAGGGCGTGCATTTTGGCGTTCTGGAGGCGGACGAGTACGAAGAGGGTGCTAATGTACGCAATGAGGTACCAGTACGTGACCTCCTAGCGCACAGCGGTGTCGCTGCGCGAGAGTCGGTCGGCGAGACGTCAAAAAACGACTCGACAAACTTCTTTAGAGCACGGACACAAACGGCGACACCAAGCTGGAGACCGTCATGACCAAACCGTAGTACGCTTACCTTGATTGTCGACGTCGGCGATCTCGACCGCACAGGACGTACTAGTATATATATATGAACGTGTTTCGCGTTATCTTCGTTGTTACTTCGCATACGTAGAAACTAGCAATCTCCTTCTTCTTCATTCGCTCACCGGGCCGTGGCTGCGCAGGTGGCGGCGCGGCTGATCGTCTTGATCTTCTGTAGTCGTCCGGGGGCGCTTGCGGCCGCGGGTGAGGCCCATGACGACTCGCTGTGTAAAGGCCTTCCAGGCTTTGTCGTCGGCGGCAAAGCTACGCAGTGTGTTGAGGTCCTCGAGAGACGCCAGCGTCTGAGGCGGCGTCAAGGACGTACGGACGATAAAGCGGGAACCTTCTCAGCGAGCGCGACGCCGTTGAAGAACCATTGGTTGGGAAAGACACGTTCCAGGTGATCCAGAGACGACAATCGAATCAATGATGGCGATCGTACCGAGCGCAATGACGTAGAGCCAGTTCCAGTGCAAGCCCCTCTTCCCGGCGACAACCATGATGTCCCTGATGATGAGCGAGTTAAAGACGCCTAAGCGCGAGTCGTTGAGCGGCTCGACGCCTTTTCATGTCTTGGAGATGGGGTGGACGGCGTCGTTGCAGAGAAGGACAGGATGGTCGAGTCGAGCTTCTCGAGATCGCAAAGGCCGAACCACGGGGATGCCGCCATCTCCGAAAAAGAAGAGGGAGCTCGGGAAGTGCCGGGAGGAAAATCAGCCAACGAATATCGTGTGTGCAAACTAGCGTGACATATGTCAGGGTTGCAGCTTCGACGGTAGTTGCTCTGTTGGATCTTGCAGAACAAATTGCCGACGCCACTTTGGTAGAGGATAGCAGGAGGAACGCACGCTATCCATAGTATATTGTATACGAGTACTTATTTAGTTGGTAGACACTCCTTGTAGCAACATGCCTCGACAACCATACCCCGAGTTGATAACACGTGTTGTACGTGGGCGAGTACGTGGGCTGGTGGTGGTACATGAAGCCGGACGCGGAATATGGTTTACTCTGTGTATTCTCGTGCTGTAGTTCGTGTTCCTCTCTTTAATTCTCGACAGCTACTCCAAGATGAAGAGATTATTAGCTTCGTCTTGCCGAAGAGCTATTGTTGCCGTTTACTTTTAGTACCGGTGTTGGAGGATCGTGCGACGTCAACATGTGGCGTCCCGACTTGCAACATGTGGTATACCCGAGTGGATGCACGCGTTCGACGGTGGGCTGGCTACCGTGTCGTTTCAACTGTCGTTTGCGGTCCATTAGGCTAGTCTAACTGACCAATGAAACCATCGAGCAACACCATTCAGTACCAACCCGGCAACACCATCGAAAGACACAAACTACTTTATACAGGCGTAACATTGTCGACTCTCGAAAAATCTCTTACTTGGGGCACGACCCGTTGACCGTCCCCTTCCCACCGGCAATGCGGTAGCACTTGGTCGACGGGTAAATCGACATAAAGTTGGTCGTCACGGAAAAGGCGAGAGCGAGGAAGAAGACGACCACCAAGATGGCACCTGCGAGCTTGCTCGTCTCGCCGCGCTTCTTGAGTGCCTGCATCTCGGCCTTCTGCGGCGGGAGGAGAAAGAGCCAGCCCAGCGCAGCAATCTTGAACGCATACGCAATGAGGTACGTGTACGTGACTTCCCAGCGGACGTGGTTGTCGTCGCGGGCAATACTGGCTTGGGACACGTCAAAAAACGAGTCGACGTACTTGTAAAAGACAGAGGCGAACGGCGACGCGAGGTTGCCGACCGTGCTCACAAGGCCATACGTGGCACCCTCGTTGCCAACATCGGCAATCTCGACGGCGCAGTACGTGGCCACAATGAAGCGGACGCTCGACGGAACGTTCTCGGCAAGCGCGACGCCGTTAAAGAACCACTGATTGCGGATGATGTCCCAGATCGTGACGAAGACGACAAAGGCATCGATGACAACGATGCCGATAGACCCGAGTGCAATGAGCCAGCGCCAGTTCCAGTTGAGGCCCCATTTGCCGATCGCAACCATGATGACGGACGTGATGAGCGAGCCAAAGACGCCTGAGAGCGAGTCGTTGAGCGGCTCGACGCCCGCCCATGTCTTGGAGATGGGCGAGCTCGGGGTTGCAGAGAAGGACGCAAAGACTTGGTTGATGAACTTGAAGGCGACGACCTGCCACATGACGCGTTTTTGGAGGAGGCCCCAGAAGCTTTCGACCCAATCGGTGAACGAAATGCCCGACGACTTGTCCTCGGCGAGCACAAAAATCGTGTTGAGCATGATGAGCGCGCACGGCACGAGGCAGATGGCGTACATGACATTCGGGGTCACCGCGTAGTCGAACGAGCCGCCGTAGACCTTGCCGTTGAGGAGGAACGCGACGCAAAGCTGCGCGAGCATCGTGCCTACGTACCGGATCGTGTAGATCGCGGTCTGGGTCCGGCCGCGGATCGCAATCGGCTCGCGCTGGGCGTACTCGACGACCATCGCGTCGGCGGCGCAGTCGGCCATGACGTAGCCAAAACCGACAAGGACCGTGAGCACGATGAACTTGGTGCCGCCGTTGGGCGCGTCAAAGTTGTAGAATTGCAGCTTGTTGTCGCGCGTGAGGTTGGCGATCGGAGGGGTCACAGATGGGCACGTGATCTCGCGGCCGTCGCAGTACGGCGCGCCGAACGGCGTGAACGTCATGACGCAGAGGCAGATCGTCGCGACGGTCCACCCGATGAGCATCCAGCTCTTGCGGCGGTAGCCAAAGATGGGAAAGCAGTCCGAGAGCATGCCAAAGAAGACCTTGAATGACCAGCCGAGCGTGACGAGGACGCTGTACGCCGACGTTTGGTAGCCTTCCATGTGCAGATAGTTGTTGAAGACGGGGTACTGCATCGCGGGTAGCATGCCGTAGAGAATCCCGATGGCAAAGTACTGCGAGAAGAGTGCAAAGGCCTCGCGCGACACAAGCGAGATGGCCCCGCCAGACACGAGCGCACCGCCGTCTTCGAGCTGACCGGGCGACTTGAGCTCGTTAAAGTCGGCGCCGCCCTTGGTGGCCGAATGGATGTACGAGGCACGCTCCTCAAGGTCAAAGTGGCCCACGTCTTTTGTCGACGCCATGGTAAATTGAAAGATGAAGCTCTGAGCAGCGAGATACGATGGAGCGCAGAGAGGCGCGGGGCCGCGACCCTGGTTCTTACCGTGCCACGAGGACAACACATGTTGGCGTCCCACGCAACGCAGCGGGCGCCACGTGCAGGATCCGCATCATCTGATTGGTTCGCATGCGTGGGCGATCCTAACGTTGACCTTGTATGGCGTCGTCGTCATGGGGATAATTCTGTTCTAGAACGATAGTAGCGAGCGTACACTTGATGGCGTGTCTGTGGCGGACACCGTTTCGAGATACTCCTCGGTGCACCAGATGTTTCACCTGCCGCACTCTGTGGCCAGGATGGCTTGTGACCATGCAAGAAGATTTCCTCGCGATCAGGAAACTGCGATCAAGGGCCATCGATAAGGCTATCGAATGTACTTGATTTTTTCGTTTCTTATTCCAACATGAATGGCAAGGCATGATGACGCTACTAGTATCAAATACGTTGAGCTCGCACCCACGACTCGAAGCCTTTTCCTCACACAACGCCATTTCGCGTTTAACATGCTAACAGACGATGCCAGCATATTCTATCCAAAAGACGGGCGTTGATCTGTCCGCTGTACAACGGGTAGTAGTACATCTCTTCTTCTCACGGTTTGCTTGCGACGGGGCAGTGACCTGCTGCTATTTCAAACAGCTTCCTCGAGGTGCACGGTGGTGTCTTATGGCTGCAGAAGACGAATTTGATTGTTTGTTTGTCGAGATGGCTGCCGTTGACGCATTGGCACGGCACACCGTCGTCCTATCCTGCGCCTTCACGTACGAGGCATCACGACGCCGATCGAGGTCTTCCGAAGTCACGACGCATCCGCTCTTGTTCCAAGATAGTTCAAAGAGTTCATAGCTGGTGCCGTTTCGTTGTTGAGTACATGTGTACGTACGTGATGTTGGTTTGCTCAATCAAGCCGACGCCATCCGCCTTATAGTCTAAGGTCCTTACTGCAGCAACCCACTCAATCCGTTGTACGTCCGACTTGGTAACCTTGATGAAGCAGATATCGCAGTCGCCACGGCACAACCACTGTGGCGCAGACTTGGCATCTTGTTCAAGTGACGCGGCCAAATCCGTTTTTGAAAGGGTTAAACAGGTTAAAATAAGTAAAACGTCTTTTATACGGTCACGCGACCGTAGCACGTTGCAACCAATCACGGACGAGGAGCTTCTTTGCGCCCACTCTTCTGCCAGCATGACCAGCAAGCGCAAGCGCGAGGCCGATGGCGCCATGTTCTCGGGCGCGCGCTTCTCCTTCGGCTTCCAAGCATCGGGAGACGACGACGACGACGACGGCGCGGATGCACCGCCGGCAGTCGCTGCGCACCCGTCGTCTGCCTCCATCCGCGCCGCGTGCAACGTCAACG